ATTCACAAAGATAATATTCACAAGATCATGAATCTGACACAAATCTCTATTAATATGTATGAAATGCTCTGAAAAAGAAGTCACTGATAGAAGAATCATGTGATAATCTATTTCATCAGTCTGCTCAATATCAAAAAGATCTTAGAAAAGTTATCCTGTGTTACAATAACAGATTCTTATATGAAACTCTCTCAATAATATCATGAATATCTAGATGTCTTCTGACAAGATAATATTACAAATATACTCTTTTTACAAGATTCTGAAGTGAATCACAGTATCAAGTTAGAGAAGAAGAATGATAAGAATTCTGAACTGTTATAAGACTCTCTTTATAACATGTTCTGAGATGAACTTCTTCTTCTTTGAAAGACACTCAATGATCTGTTGAATAAAGAATTCATACATATCAGTAACTCTTCTGCTGCAGCCTCTATTCTCTTTGCAAAGAAATCAGATGAAGAACTTCAGTTCTATGTGAATTATTAAGAATTGAACAGATTAACAAAGAAAGACTATTATTCTTTATCTCTTATCAATGAAACTCTAGCTTACATTGAACAAGCTCAATGATTTACAAAGTTAGATATTATCACTGTGTTTCATAAGATTCACATCACTGAAGAAGATGAGTGACTTACAGTATTTCAAACATAATATGACCTCTTTGAATGAGTAGTTACACTCTTTGAACTGGTCAATGCCTTCAGTACATTTCAGAAGTATATCAACTGAGCACTCTGAGACTTTCTTAATAAATTTACATCTATTAATTTAGATGACATTCTCATCTTCACTGATGAATTCAGAAAAGAATATCAAGAGTATGTGTGAGGAGTATTACAATGACTACAAGAAGCAGAACTATTAATTGATATTGACAAGTGTGATTTTGAAGTTAAGAGTACTAAATACTTAGGTTTCATCATAGAAGCTGATAAGAAGATTCAAATAAATTCTGAGAAGATCTCTATCATTCTCAAATAAGAAGCTTCATATACTGTGAAAGATGCATGAAGCTTCATTGAATTCACTAACTTCTATCAGTGATTTATACAAAACTTCTCAGATATTATAAGATCACTTACAGATCTTACTAAGAAAGACTCAGTATTTCAATAATCAGCAGACACTGAAGCTGTATTTACACAGATGAAGAAGATATTCATTAATATCTCTCTACTGATAACATTCAATTCTGATCATGAGATAGTTATTAAGACTGATTTCTCTGACTATGTGACAGAAGAAGCAATATTGTAATATAATAATAAAGATATTCTATAATTATATATTTTCATATCTAAGAAACTTAGTCTCACTGAATGCAATTATGAGATCTATGATAAGAAACTTCTTGTAATTGTACACTATTTAGAAGAATAAAACTCTGAACTCTGAAGTGTCTCTGAATTTGAGATAATCATACATTATAAGAATCTCAAATACTTTATAACTATCTGTAAACTCACTGAACAACATATACAATGATCTGAGTTCTTAAGCTGCTTTTATTTTATAATATACTACTATTCTGACAGTCAGAACTTGATAGCAGATACTCTCTTACAATAAGAGTAAGATATATTATCTGATATAACAGATATTCACTGCATGAACTGAGAGCACTGACTCTTGAATCTGAAGATACTAGTTAATCAAGATGAAACAGCACACAGCACTATACATGCTTCTCTGATTAGAACTGTCAGTCTGTCACTGATATCTCAACTTCTTCTGAATCTATATTAGATGAGCTATGATATACAGATAGACTGACCGGCGGGATCATGAATTTCAAATTTGATCTCATTTGATCTGGTCTCATACATTTCTTGATGTGAGTCTCATCAGAACCAAGTCTTAAAAAAATCTGAAAATAAACCATTTCTGAGAGAAATGATGTGAAAAATGATCAGATTTAATTCAAGAACAGTGAAATAAGAGTAATTTCTTAGAATAAACTGTGAAAGATAATCATTCTTTCAAAATCAGAATGAGACTGAGACTAAAGATTAAAATCAGTCTCATTCAGTTCATTCAGTGATTGCTTATATAATCAGAATTTGGTAATGATTATTGATAATGCTTATAAAACAACTAAATACATTCTTGTACAAGTTTATTTTTCACTTTCTTATGAAAACTACACTTCTCTGATATACTGTGATCAGAGGTATTAAACTATCTGATAATTTCATGTTTTATAATCAGGAGTTTCTTGATTGTTTCTTCTTATAATTGTCTCTGATAATAGTGATAAATATCTTGACTTGAGTTGAACTTTTACTTCATTCTCATCTCTGTCAATGAAATTGTCAGAATATCATGTATTATCAGTGTAATAGTTGAATATGTACTCTCAATAATTTTTCATAACTCTAGAATTGATTTGATGTGTAAATTTATCAGATCATCTTGAAGATAGTAGTTAAATTCAGTTTTATAAGTATATAGTTTTATCTGATTTTCAGTTGCAATCAATGTATGTATGTTCTGTTTCAAAGTTAGTATTATAGTTCTATGTGATATGAAGTGTTATCAAAGATTGTTACTTACTAGAGAATTGTATTTCACTGTCTTCACATCTTGAATATCTGCTCATTCAAATCTCTGATAGTTGACATTGTAGTAGTCTCAGACTAATTTAACATATAAGTCTTATTTCTTCTCTATTCAATCTTGAGAAGTGTAGATATTAACTTAATAGAAGAGATCTAGTAGAGCTGATATAGTATAGTACTCTGCAAAAGATTGTTCAGTTTTGTGATAATAATATGCCAGTTTATCTCTTACAGTAACAATAGCCTGCACTATAGCATTATCTCAGACTGAATTTCTTTTTAAGTGATTCAACTGCTTCTCAAGATAAGTAAATAAACTGTTGTACACTCATCAGACTGACTGCAGCATTGATGTATAAGTGATTGAGACTATCTTTGTTATCTTATAAAACTGAAACAGTAAATCAATCATATATTTCAACTGAGTTCACTTTATATGAGAAAGTTTCAATATCTGAATCTTTTCTTAATCAGAGTATTGCACTCAATGATCAATTATCTGACACAATCAAAGAGTCTGAACAGTTATCTTATATATTGAACTTTATCATATTCTAATATTCTGTATTATATTCAGTGATGTAACTGATTTGTTTGTTTATTGAATATTATGAAATTATTGTTATTATTTAGAGAAGATACAAATTACATTAGCAATATTTAAAATCTGTGTTATTTAAATTATTAGTCAATCTATTCAAAATTAACAGTAGTGTTATTAAAAAGTATTATCAAAAAGCAATATCAAAAAGTATTGTCAAAAAACATTATCTTTTACAAAGTGAATATAAAAGTTATTTAAGTAATCACTTTCATCTCATTCTCATTTCAAGAATCAGTCATCTCATTATTCTTCATCTCAATGTTAAGATTCTTTATCAGTGTTTATATCACAAGTTGAATCATATGAGTAATGCAGAGAATATGACCTTGTTTATCATTTCAGAAATGCAAAGTCAATTTTTGCTCTAAGCTCTTCATTATAGTGTAGTTATTCACAGTATTATCAGTTGTAATTGTAAGAAGACTGAGACTAATATCTTAATAGTCATTTTTAATTACAGTCATTAATATCTCTGTTATATAATTCTCAGTATAACTACTTATCAATGATTCAAATTCAATTAATATCTCTTAATAAGTTCAGTTCTCATCAATATAATAACATGTAACTCTCATAAATGTAAGATTGTTTGTACTAGTTCATACATTCACTGTGAGAGACACTCTTTAATAATTCTTCAACTCTGATTCTAGATATTGTATATTGACTTTGTAGTGTATCTGAAGATTAAACTGAAGACAGAATTAATATGAAATATGAAGATTTAAATTAAGTATTTGAAGAAGTGTTTAGAATTCAGAGTTTTCAATTGATCAAAAAGAAAGATTCAGAGATATACACATGCAAAGTAATTATTCACAGAAGTTATCAGATGAGAGTTGTGAAATCAGAGTATTAATATATAATTATTTTTACATAATTTTCTTCAAATTAGAAAGTTAGTATTATCAAAAATTGTTATCTGATAGAGTAACTTATCAGCTCAGTAGTAATCTTCTGATTATTTTTCTTTTATTGTCTGCATTCTGATAACTTCAGATGTTAGAAAATTTCTTCAGAGTTATAATCAGTTTATAATGAATATTTCTGAATGAAGTTGCAGTGATTGTAGCAGAGAGATGACTCTTCAGTAATCTACAATACAATCTGTTGATAATTATTTCATAGTTCATCTCAATATTTGTGTTGAGTTTTTCATAAATTTCATGACCTGGAATCAGATATGAAGAATGAAGTAATTATTCATTATAATTAAAAGAGAGTATTCTGTGTTGAATTGTAAATAACATAGACTTTGTAATTCACAGTGATTTCTTGAAGAGTTTATGAATCTTCAATAGAAGTAAAAGAAGTGAAAGAATTGAATTCAGAAGATATGATAATAATTTAAGAAAGATGATAATTTATTTTCAATAACTAATCACTGATGTGTGTAAGAAGAATTAATATAAGAGAAAATAATCTTGTTTCTTAGCATAGTTATAATTTTAGTACTAACTCAGATTGAATATTATCAATATATAAAAGTAAATAAACAATCTTGATTAATCTCTGTCATATTTCTTGAAATATATTAATATTGTGAAAGAGAGTGTTACTAAATTGTGTTATCAGATGATATTATTAAAAATATATTAATAATTGTGAATATCAATGTTGAAAAAATGTTGATACTTATACATTATAGATATATATATATATATATATTATTTCTGACTTGATTACAACTTGTACAATAATTTTTAAAAACTCAAAATTAATTTCAATTATTAATAATTATGAACTTATAACTAACTAATATAAATAGAAAAAAACTTTTTCTACTTATCATCTTCTTACTCTTTCTTATTCTTCTTATCATTCTTTATAATTCACTTCTTATTCTTCTTCTTCTTCTTCTTCTTCTCATCTGAGATGATAATCATCTTAAAATCTCTCTTCACTATCTTCTCAGAGAAGAGTTTCTGCTGCTCTCTCTCAGCCAGGTTAATCTGTGTCTCAAAATCCTGCATTTCCTGATCTGCTGTCTCAGATTCCATCTCAGTGATAAGTAGATTGATATACTCAGAGAGCAGAGCTGTCTTCTTAATGTTCTGAATCATGAAGTGTATTCAAGATCTGAATAAGATCTTAATTCTCTTCTTCTCTGTCAGCTTCTACTAATCAATTAGAGAATAGAAGTACTATCAAAAATTGTTATCTCTTAATAAATAAAAAACTTATCAGTTTTGACTTCTTTATCTTCTACTTTAACACTCTCTTAATCTTCTTCTGTTATCACTTATTTATAGTAACACTCTTCTTCTCTCTCTCTCTCTTTATCTTAATCTCAAATCATTCTCAGAACTTCTTCTGATCTCATCACTACTGCATAAGACTCTTCACTGTCTTCTTCTTCAATCTCTCACAGGTGATGTTATTCACATTATTTCTATACTTAGTTCAGTCTAAATCTATCAGAAGTATTACTTAAAATTATTATCATTCTACTCTCTTACAGAGCCTCTTTAAGACATTATAATATATCTTATAATCTGTCTTCTCTCACTTGAATACCTTCTTCTCCTCTCTCTTCAATCTGTGACAGTGCTCACACGCCTTGATGATCTGCAGCACTGCAGAATATTTGAAGAGAGATGACATGATTGATTTCAGTGAGCATTGAAGAGAGATAAAGGCAGAAGAGACATTCAGAAATAATATAATAATGATGATAATAATGATAATAATGATAGTAATAATAATGATAATAGTGATGATGATGATAATGATGATGATAATGATGATGATGAAAGAAGAAGTGCATTGAAATATATTACTAACTTACTAAATATAAAGAGACTTAAAGAAAATATTAACAGCTTTCAGTGATGTACAGAAACAGCTACAGTATTGTATAGCAACATCATCTTCATTCAATACATGTACTATTGATATTCTTTATATACAGTTATCATATAATCTGTATCAGAGATACATGTAGAAAACAGATCTTTATTACTAGAATAAATGATTACAGCAATTCTCTGTTTTTATATTATAAAGATAAGTTATTCTCATTTCTTTCTTCTCTCTTTTCTCTTCTTCAATCAATCACTAATTTCAGGCTATGAGACAGTTATATATAGCCTGTATTACATCAGTAGCTGATTATGAAGTTCAAGTTTGATGGAATAATCAAGGGAATTTCACTGAACTCTTTCAAAGTCTGTAAAACAGAGCCTTGAGAAGAATTCTGAGAGCATTCAAATCATCTCCTATTAAAGCAATGGAAATTGAAGCTTCAATTCCTCCTTCTGCTATTAGATTTGAAAAGGCCTGCATGAACTATGCTCTGAGAGTTATAAAGATGAGCTCAAATTATATAATCAGAGAAAGAGTCTCTTCTTTATTTCCATCAATTAAATCCGGAAATGAACTGGATTGGAATAGATTTCTTGATTGAAATGAAAATAATTCTTCAAAGAAAATGTCTTCTCAACTGTACAGACTATGCTCTCTGATTAAAAATCAATTTTCTTCTTTCAATATTGAAAAAGTTGATCATGAGAAGTTATCTCTCTGAAGAGAAAAGCTTGAATCTCTTATAGACTTACAAATAAGTGAACTATCAAAAGAGAAAGAATATGAACAGTATTTGAAGAGAATTTCTACAATTAATATAAAAGACTCTATTCTGATTTATTTAAATGGCTCAAAAAATGAGAACTTGAATAGATTAGGCGCAGGCATTGTTTATACTGAAGATAATATCAATTTTATCTCAGATTTCTGAAATCTAGGCTGTGAATGTGAAGTCTTTGATGCTGAACTATTTGTAATAGTGAAAGCTTTCAAACTCATTGAAATAAAATCTTATAAAAGAGGAAATTGTTTGAAAGAGACATGAATATTCTCTGATAGTCAAGCTGCTTTAAAAAGACTTAGAAATAGTCAGATTTATAATGATCAAATGAATCTTGAACTGATCTTAAACTCTGTTTTAAAAATTCAAAAGAGAAGAATATTAAAGCTGATAATTCATCTGCACTGAGTTCCTGCTTATATGAATATTCATGACAATGAATTGGCTGATTCAGCTGTAAAAAAGAGTGCAGAATTAAGCAGATCTATTCAAAAAATTGTGTTCTGATCTTTTATAAAGAGAAAAATAAAAGAATCTTGTTTAGACAAGTGAAATGAAAGCTGACAGAAACAAAAGAAGAGTATACATTATTCAAGATTTGAAATAAAACCCAAGTGAAAATCTTGTTCAATTAAATGTAAAAAGAAAATATTCTCATCTATAATACAGCTGAAACTAGAACATGGCTATTTCAAATCTTATATACAAAGATTTGATGATAGATTTGACTCAATAGAATGCTCATTCTGCAATATAAATAAGAATTCTGAGTACATTATAATGCACTGTGCATTATACAATAGTCTCAGAGTCAGATTGAAAGAGAAGTATGATCTAAATCAATTAAATATGAGATTCTTATTCTCAACTGAGACAGGAGTTAAATACTTAATAGACTTTCTATCAGAAACTCAAGCAGCTACAAGAAAATGGCTAAATTCAGAATTATCTGAATATGAAGAGGAGGAAATCAACCAGATATAGTCTGTTAAAACAGCTATATACTATCTTTTAATAATTTGTTTTGTTACAGTCTTTCTTTACTTTATCTTTTTCTTTCAATTTCTTTCAGTCTATCTATTTAATGTGTTTATCTTTAAGACTGTGTTCTCTTTTCCTTTGTCATGATATTGTCAAATGATTTCAAAGTATCAGAAGATGTTAAAACACTGTAATTTATAAACAGTTTTTGTATTCTGAGCTGGAATTTTCTGATTTTGCATATCTGAAATTGATGAATGTATAATAGTTAACTTTACAGATATAGGAAAAACCCTGAGAACTAAAAGTTCTCAGGTAGATGTCATAGTCTCTGACTGCATACATCTATAATTGAAGAATAATAATAATAATAACAATCACTAATTTCAAGCTGATATGAAAACTATTAAAACACTCTCAGAAATCCTCAAATTGAAGAGTATAGACTAATCAAATTTCAAATGCAGAAGAAATCAAATTATCTTCTATAGATTCAATTACTCATTTCTCTTTAAATAAAACAGCAGTTATATCCCCCCTCTCTCTCAATCAAATGAAACATGGCCTGTGAAAAGTGAGTATCATGTCAGGTTATAATGATCAACACAGCCTCAGCATGCAGAACTGTATATATACAGTATATGCTGAACTGAGAGACTGTGTGAGTTGCAAACTAGTGACAGCATTTCAGAGAGAGCTGTGTGGCATGAGAAAGCTGTAACTCTCAGTTACATGCACAGAGAGTGAATCACTGCAGTAAGTACATATGCATTAAAGTAATGCTTTTTAATAACACTCAGTCTCTAATATAATGAAAATAGAGTCTCTTCATGAGATCTGTTTCTATCAGAAGTCAGAGAATCTTATATTTCTCAAGATCATCTTCACATGCCTTGTCTATGAAATCAATGAGAGAAATCATCAATTTCAGTATTCTATTCTTGATATCATTCAAGTGACAGTAGAGTTCACCCTGATCATACTTTTTAAGTGTATATTTTCTAATTATTCATATTTATATAGATATATACTGATTATTTATTAGATAATATTAAGATAATAACTTATCACAGCTGTATTACTCTCACTGTGAGAGATACACAGTTAATAATAAACATTATAAAGACTCTGAAGAGTGAGTATTTTAGAAATACTGCAGCTCTGTGATCTTGATTTTTTTTTATTTTTATTTTTTATTTTTTTATTTTTCTTTTATTTTTTTTTTCTTTCTCTTCTTTTTTTCTTTCTCTTTTTTTTTTTGTTGTGATTCTTTCTTATTCTTTTGTTTTTTATTTTTTTGTTATTTTTTGTATTTTATATTTTTTTTTAATTAAAATGATATTGATTATGATCTGTGTTCAGAAAAGTAATGATATTTGATAACACTCTCTGTTGAATTTTCAACAAATGAGTACTATATTATGATATTATGTAAGTGAGAAATGATTTCATAGTCTCATTTAGTGCCATTTTCAATAATGAGATCAGAATGAAAATGTGACTAAGAATTCAAACATATTCTTTATCTGAGACTAGATTTTTATTTGAAAAGAGAATCTGAGATCTTTAATATTTGAAATAACAGGATTTGAGATCAATGTTATGAATACAAACCATGATCAGAAGTAATGCTTTTAGACAATGTGACAACTGTAAAGTTGAATTCTGGTCTCAGACACGGTCACATGATCAGTCTATATACAGCAGCTCAAACTGATAAACTTCTTCAAACACTTACTGAAGCAGTATAATAAGAAGCACTCTGATTTTCTTCAGAATTATATGTAAGAACTGACATCTCAGAATGTTCAATTGATGATAATAATACTCTATAATTTCATAAATAATACTGAGTCTCTCACTCTGAATTCTTACACACTCATATAATGCAAGAGATACATGATTCATGTATAACTGATTATTTAGACTGTGAATAACTGTATAGAATAATCTTCTGAGAGTTCTATTAATCTAAGATATTAAACAGTATCAGACACTTTGTCTGAAACTGCAACTACTGTTCTTCTATTATCTTATAAAAGAACTGTAGAAAAGATCTACTAAAATCACTCAATATTTCTAATAGAATCTGATGAGATGTAGTAATTAACTTCACTGTTAATCTATCTAAGAGTAAGAATTATAGAAACATTCTGATCATTATAAATTAATTAAGTAAAGATGTAATATTGAAATCTTGTAATAAGATGAATACTGAACAAGTAACTGAAGCTTTTCTACAGAGCTCATTCTATCAGATGTATGAATTACTGAGATTTATAGTATCAGATTAAGACTGTTAATTTATAAGTACTCTCTGAACAAGAATCTGTCAAGTTCTCAAGATTATATATTATCTGTTAACTGTCTATCACTCTGAGACTGATGATGTATCAGAACAGACAATTCAGACTGTAAAGAATTATCTCTACAAGTTCTATAATTACTTATAAGATGATTGATATGATCTGCTTCTACATGCAGAGATTGCTATTA